GATGACAGCAGTGACAAGCTCATGTTCCTATATACTCCCTTCACCTCACAAATTGTTCTCTCAGCATCCCAAAATTCAGAAAGAGGAACCAACTCATTCACTAGCGGATTTCGTGTGTGCCGCATCAGCACTCTCTCGGTCTCATGACTAAGCAATTTAGCAGGCTTTATTATTTCCACCGGTCTTAACTCAGAAAGTAGACAACACAAGGCACTACAATCTGAATCATCTTCAAACTGTTAAAGAAATACATCAAATTACTAACATTACATTTCGGTAAATGAAGATTAACCAATATAGAGATAGAATAGCGTACAGGATGATAACAGGGTTCCTTACAAAACTAAGGATTTTTAAATAAATACAACTTTGGAAGCTTTGTTGTACCAAGGGTCCTTCAGTTTACTGGCAACAGAGAACCCCAGACAAGATTTTATCCAGAGTAGACAAGAACAGTTATTTATGGCAGACCTAATCACCTCGCACATACTACTACTCTTGAATGTTCTTGCACTTATTTTCATGGCTAAACAAAACAAGTTTCTTCCAAACAAGCAGATAATCACATTAAATTAACGCGTTGTCAACACAAAAGAAGAATTTTAGACAAGATCATCAATAAACTAAATAAGGAAAAAGGTGATGCTTATGCTAGAAACCTAAATAGTGTATGGTGGGGTTAAGAGAGAGTGGAGAGGTTTGAGGGAAGGAAAGAGAACCAATTAATAAGGTTAGGAAGATGGCAAATCCAGGAAGCGAGCAGACTAATGCAGAAACCAGAGATGGAGAAGGTGCCAAGTTGGTTGGAGAATATCAACATTAAACTGGTGGAACTTGGAATTAAAGATATAAAGAGAACTTCTGTTTAGTAGCATTCCAGTAAAGACTGTATTATAAACTATCCTCTCATTAATTGATTAGCCAGTAATATACCCTTAGCCTGTGAAGTGCACACATCACTATATGGGAAGGTTGATCAAAACTAATTCAGGTTCTAGTGAACATCTCATGAAGCTAATCAAGATTCGCAGAAAACTATCACCCACAGAAAGCAATCTTATAGAATCAGACTGATTGACAGCAAACATGCTACACATGAATAGCAACAAAATAGCACAAAACATTTTACCAATAAAACTAAATAAAATTCATAAGCTATTACCCTGTACCTGTCCAATAATAATCTTGCCCGTGCTAATATCAACCAAACAGACACCATAAGTACGCTTCTCCTGTTGGAATGCATCAGTTAGAAAGCTTTCAGTCACTGCCATCAAATATGAAGCATCAGGGTTTGCCGCAAGCATTTCTCCCTCAGTTAATGTTCCTTTAGTGACTACTGCACATATTTCACGTCTGACAACCTGGAATGGGGTTTGATATGTCAGCTACAGAAAGAACTGAGAAGGAAGTAAAATTGTCATCACTATGACTGCTTCAATCTTATGTAGCACAATAATGACCTTATCTTTAGATCCCATCTCTCTTCGACGATTCTCAAGCTGTTCAGGTGTCTCTGTTTGCTCAACCACAAGAACCCTATAACCCTGTTCCATCAAAGCAACTCATAGTAAGATCCTTGCCATGAAAACACAGGCAATCAAACTAGCATCGGGAATATGACACGGATACTGAACATTGAGCAACTACAACCTTCCGAGCCAACTTCTCTACATTCATTGAGAAGTTCTTTTCTGGAAATCCACAATGTGGTTGCTCTCCCTGGATATACAAAGGCAACAGTCAGCTATAAACTTAACTTCAAGATGCACACAAACTTATGAGTAAAATTGGAACATCCTATCGCAAGGAACAACTGAGAACCTTAAAACAGAAACATGCAATTTAGTCACAACATAATACAGAGCATAAACCACTCCCTTCCTGAACAGGAACAGTAAAATGAAGCATAAAAGATGCATGGTTGGCTCGCTTCCTTTTCTCTTTTAGGCATATCTACACATTGATGACCAATTTATTTTTATCCTTTGTTACCTTTCATTTTTCTTTTGGGTGCATAAACTCAAGTTACCTTCATATACTGCAGATGAAGTTCCTGGGCTCCAATATGTGCATCCATCTCATAAAGCTCATAGAATTTTCCCATCTGATTCATAATTCATGGAATAATTAAAATCATCATATAGAGGACAAGTTGAAGAAGAAGAGATGAAAAGGCTGCAAAACAACTTCAATGGAAAAAAGATTAAGCCTTCAATAAGCTGCCACCATCATTACCTTAAAAAAAAGAACTTTATCCATGTGCTTCGACTTGAACTCCCACCATTGTCTCTGAGCATCATTTACATCATTAAGAGGTAGGGAAAAGAATTCCTAAGATATCTAACCAGGAGAATCCAATTACCTGACCACCAGTTAAACCTTTTAAAAAATTAAGAGGTAGGTAAATAGTCCTTGGATCATAATTGGCGTCACCTGGGGACCTCCTATTTGCATCCTTTCTATCTCTGTTTCAGCACACAAGAAAAATTCAGAAATAGGCCATATCAAGCAAAATGGTAAAACATCACCCATCTCCTCCTAGATCAAATAAAACAAAACAAAAAGTGAACAGATATTGATAGAGTACTTACTTTCCAAGGAATGGGAATTTCTGTGTTTCACGTTGTCCAAATCTATCTGCTGCACCACACAGCAATACATTGTCATTGTTGGATGCCTTGGCACCTGCAGGGCAACAAAGCCACCTCAATTTATTTCCTAAAACATTTAAGCATTAATTTTCTTGTAAACTCTAACACCTAGGCAAGAAATTTTAAATTATTACGGTAACAAACTGCAACATTGAAAGTTATTGACCAATTAGGCAACCTCGTTCCTGCCTTACTACAAGTTCACAATTTCATTTGGATCCAACCACATATAGTCCAGATTTCCCCCCTTCGTTTTTGTTCTTTGGACAAGTGGAAGTTTTCTCTCATTTCCTATCTTCCCCCTTCTAGTCTGAATCCTTTTTTGGATTATTTTACACTTTCCTTGCAAGAACGACCATATTTGGTAAGAACAGCAAACATTTCTTTTTTGCTCGATACAAAGTCAAAGAGTCATAATAAGTCATACATATTTGGGAAAATGATACTCATGTGAAAGGAAAAATAAACATTCATAGCAGGACCACTGTAATATAGGTACTTAAAATGACAGTTACTATCTTAGTACAACACCATAACCGCCAAATGTTCTAGAGTATTCAAACAAGTAAACTGAACTTAATAGGACACAAAAGAAGCAGGTTCAATCACTTACAATCCTCTTTGGTTGCAACAGGCTCTTTTCCATTTACTCCAATCACAGCAGAGTCCATTTTGCTATTAGCACTCCTCTTATCTGAAACAGTCTTACTCTTCTTGCTCGAACTCGGAGTTAACTTCTCCCCTTCACCAGTTTTCCTCTTCCTCGCCACCACCTTGCTCCCACTCACTTTCCGACTTTTAGGTCCAACAACATCATCGTCTTCTTCCTCAATCTCCAAATCCATATCCTCGGAAGCATCCTCACCTTCAGAAACTTGTTTAGCTGCATCCTTTCCCCAATCTTCATCCTCAGAATCATCCTCAACACTCTTTAAATCCTCCAATTTCTCCTCCTCCTCCTCCTTCTCTTCCACCACGGAAGACCTCCGCAACCGCCTCAACTTCCTCACAGGTGCCTTCACCCATTCAATTTTTTCTTCAGATAAATCAATCATTTCCTCATCACCGTCATCATACTTAACCAAATGCTCACCAGAACTACTGTCAAAAGACTTCACACAGCCTTCATACCATATTTTATCCAACGGCCAGTAAACCTTAACTCTTTTGTCCACTACCTCTTGTCCATATGATGGCTTAAGGTCAACAATGGCTGAAATAGGCACAGTAATCTTCCGCTTTGCGTTTAGAGGAGAAGGAGTCGTAGGACTAGCACAAGGACTGGTACTAGGACTAAGATTAGGTTTACGTTTAGTATTAGGGTTAGGGTTAGATTTTTCTGGAATTTGTTTGGGGAGAAGAGGTGAAGGAGAAGGAGACGAGAGGGTTTTGGAGAAGAAAGAAGTGATTTGGCTCTGTTGATTGACTAGCGGTGATCTGCCATTGCTGGAGCGGCGAGAAGAAGCCATTTGTGGCAATGTAGAAGCAAATAGTGGAATGAGTGAGAAGAGTAATGAAATGTACTATATCTATATATATGTATTGCTTCTCCCAATGGCGGGAAGAGTGAACGTTGAGTGCCACAGTTGGCGGGAAGCTTCTCTAAGCCCTTCTTACTGCTTCATTAGAGACTGCATATGTTTTTGTTTTTTTTGAGGGAAAGGTTTAGTCATTCTTATAGTGTCTTGCTTTTGTTTATTGTATATAGATCATTGCGTTTGGATCATATTTTACTGGAGTTGTGACACATTCTTTATGAAGAATGTGACACGAATTGAATTAATGGACTTCAAATACAAATACAAGATATTGAATGAAAAATAAAATAAAAATACATCCAAGGAAGAGGTCACCATTAGCTCCATTTTTTTTTGAAAAATCGCTTGGGGTTCATTTGGTTTGCAAATAAGTTAAATCGTGTCTATAATATGACGATTTAAATTTTAATGATTAAAAAAAATAAAATAGTAAGCTTCTTTTAAAAATAAAATAGTTTGATCATTATATTAAAAATGAAAATGTGTGTAAAATGTGTGTATGATTTTATATATATAACATATAAAAGATACCTTTTAGAATTAAAAAAAGACTTGGAATTATTAGCCTTTAAAGGACTTGGGAAAAGATCTATGGAGAAAGGTAAGTCATTTGATTAGTTTGTCACGGGATAGTTAATTACAAGATTAATTTTTTATATTAATGTTGTATAAAATTGAAATCAAAATAGTGGTAAGACTACTAACGGAATTGCTCATATCAAAAATAAATATTCAACTAGACACGGGATTATTTCCATCCAATGAGTTAATGCATAGATTGAAAAAAATATGCTAAACAAGGAATTAGTAATACCAGAACTAATACAAGCATTATTTTCTCTTGTTGCTGGGCTTGTATGTAATGGATTAAGCTGTGCTTACATTCAATTTTCATTCAGGAAGTTTGGCTATTCGAATCGAAACAACAAAGGACTGACTGAATCTCAAAGTATAGTAAAAGTAAACCAAATAATCCTGTTTTCTGAGTAACATTCTCGGGAAGAAACATGCAAAAAAAAAAAAAAAAAAAAGAATGCCCCCTCTCTGTATCTCCACAGGGTATTTCTACTTGGTGTAAACTGTACTCCAAACCCCCCAAAATAATACAACAGACAACTCTAGACTCAGAGACCAACCATTTCCAGAGCACAAGCACTGAAGATCCATTCCACAAAATTGGATCCGCCAGGCAGTTGGAAGAAGGAAAGAAAACTAATAAGCTAAGGAGAAGCATGCCCTCATAAATTTGATAATTTCTTGGTAAACCAATCTGAAAGACACTTCATTTTCAGTGAAAGCTCTCTGTTTTTGGCAAAGTAAGCCTCACCATTTGCTATCATCACAGAGAAATCATGCTTCATTGCTTTCAAGCTTCTATAATAGTTGTTCTCTAACCTTAACCGGATTATTTCAGGTGATAGAGGAACAGGGAACCTGCAAAGAGCAAATCATTTATCGTGTTGGGTCCATTAATAATTGTGCATGCCAAGCGAAAAAGTTATTATAACAAAACACCC